TCAGTCCAAGAATTGCTGTCTTAACTTAATAAAAGCAAAGAATTTATAAAACCAGAACTAGATGATGAGATGTTTCTAATCATTCATGTAAGTAGAATCTTCAATAATTTTTCAAAAATAACTGTCTTGTGGCAATTCTTTTGTAGTAATCAGGAAACACTGAAGAGTTTAAGTGTGCATTATTAATATACTCCAGTCACTTTGTACATGTAATGCTAAACAAATGCTAAACAAATTTAACAGACAGGCATTGTGATACCTCTAATGTTTGCAAAAACAGTTGTTCTGGGAAAACCATAAATAATTGTACTACTTGTATGAAAGAGGCTGGGTGGCTTTTGCTAGTTTGTTTAAAAATTGCAAGTTTACAAAGGGGATGTGGCATAAAAACCCTGAAAGGGTAAAATCAAGACCTCTTACCTGCTTTGAAAGCAAAATAGAAATTTCCAATAGCATGACGTGGTCGAGTGTGACACCTAGAGGCCATATGTTTAGGATTCCTAAACAATAACTTCAGCTGCAAGTTTTGCACAGCATGTGCAGTTTTGGACTTAAAGACTGGAGCAGGCATATTTTGAAAAATTAGCATTTTTTTTTTATTTTTCATTTTTAGCATATTTTTGTGGCTTCCCTGACGCGGATCCTTAGCATTGATATAAAGAAAAATATGAGACTCCTTCTGAATCTGGTTAAGAGTTCTTAATGCTGTGCAGCTTATTCCATCCTGAAGTAGTCAATATCTAACAAAATTCTAGCAGATCCCATCTGAAGAGAATGATTACAATATGCTTGCAGCTGTAGTAAAATATCTTCATGAATGTCAGGCTCTCACACAGTGCAGAACTAGAATTTTTGGCCCATGAATTTGTCAGGGAATGAAGAGAACAAAAGCTTCTTTTAACTGTGAATTATTTGGATCATTGATATTACAAGGAAATATGCATATAAGGGAACACACTGTACCTTCGTAACTTCTCTAAAACTTAGTGGGGCAACCATGTCACTGCATCCCATGAAATGGATATATCCAAGGACATCCTACCTCATATGGCAACAGAACCAGATCAGCATGTTACAAATTTAGAATACTAATCAGAAATATTTGCTACTCTATTATCCAGTGGGCATTGACTACAAAAGGACTACAAACTCCTTATAACCATAGAGCTAAATGAATAGGAGATAGGTGACTTAGTTGTTTTTGGCAATATTTGTTATTTTCATACCTAAGAGAGGGGGAAAGGTCTTGGACATCAATCAAAACTAGCACAGTTCAGATGAAGAGGACTTTCACTTTTCTGCACAAGAAATAAAACATTTTTCACTCTCTAGAATTTAGGCTATTCTAGTATTCATTCTGGGGGATTTTTTTGTACTAGTCTAGTACTCATGCAGCAGAGATGGTGTAGTGGAGTGCAGTTGTAGAGTTTGTAAAACAACATCTTATATAGATCTATAAAAATTGCCTGAAACTTCTCTAAAGATTTCTGTTTTGATCAGTCTGAAATTGAAGGCAGAAGAAAGCATTGCTCTTTGTTGTGAATTGCTTAGTCTAGCAACAAATATGTGTATATATTTAGAAGTCTTTGCATGCTTTTTGGCCTTACTATGTGTAGAAATACAGCATCATCAGGATATAAGGTAATATGATCCTGAAGCTTTGATTCATGGCTTTTCATGAAAAGAAGGGTGTGAGCATGGGACTGCCTAGTAGCAGAGGAATACTGCCAGCCTGATTCTGTATTGAAATATTTATCTTACCATTTGCCTCTCCAAAAAATAAAAGGTATTTCATGCTTACTTTGTCATCCTCTAACTCTTTAATGCTAGGAAATGTGACCAAAGTTATTGGAATATTTCATGACTAACACTTTGTCATTTTGATAAAGGTCTTTGATGTTAGTTATACTTTTTGAAGAGAAATGAAAAGGTGCTAAGTTGTCAATGATTTGTTTGAGTAATTTACATACTTCTTGTAGCTGTTTTGCCTCAAATAAAATAATAGGATTATTTAGTTTGGAAAAGATGTTTAAGATCATGGAGTTCAGCCACTGACCTATCTCTGCCTAGTCCACACTAAACCATAACCCCAAGTGCCACCTCTAAGTCTAAATATATAATTGTATCTCTTCAGGCTCACATGTTGGTGCTCTAAGGAGCAACAATTGCACTATTAAGATTGTGATATGCATACTAATGTCAATTGTAGTTCATTTCTATGCTTTATCTACAAGCTTCTTCTCATAAATACTTAACCATTTATTTGGGAATGTCTAAGCCATAAACAACTGATAAATTATGATTGTTAAATATATATTTGAAGATTACCAGTAGGCTGGAAACAGTGCATTGTTTACTGGAGGGAGGGTCCATGTTTACTGTAGCAAATGGGAGAGGATAATAGGGCATCAGGTACACTGGAAATGGCTAAGAGCAGCATTCCCAGAAAGGCATGCTGACAGCCACTGAAACTTAAAATCAGGATATATTCCCTCTTGTTTGAGCAGTCTAATTCCTGCAGTTAGGTTGGGGAGGTTGTTGGTGGTGTTTGTATCTTCAGACACCAGCCTGCTCTTTGGCCTGGGGAATCACTGGCCTTTCCCCATCCTGAGTAAAAGATGACTGCATGTAAGGCATAAGCAACTGAGTGGATCCCAAAATGAGCTCTTCAGAAATCTTTTTTTTTTCCATACACACAAATACTTTTTTTCCATACACACAAATAATAAATATTCCTTCCATTTTGTCTCTACTGTGATCTATTTCTGAACAGTTTTAAATTATTATATCTTCTGACAAAATAAAAAAAAACCCAAAAAGTGGAATTATTCTTTTGTGGTTCATTGATTTTGTGACTGATAAAATGGTAAACCCATAAAAAGTAGTGTGAAAATATTTTACTTTGATAATCTATATTTAATGGTTTTGAAATATGGAATTCTATAGTTGCACAAATATAAGAAAATATTTGAGTGTTTGTGTACATGTGCTTACCCTCTCTCATGATGCTGCTTTGTTCTGCTGTCAAAACCCACTTTGATTCATTGTGCCAACTACATGGATGATCTGTTCCCTGATGATGTTTCCAGATGATCTGAGTCACGTGCAAAATATTCTCAGAGGCTTTCTTTACACATTCATTAAAAATTCCAGATAGAATCCATTGTATTTAATAACTCTGAAAAGGGTGCCTTTTCCCCCAGTCTCTCTATAAACTTGAGTCTTTCTCTCATGCATAGCTCTGGCTAAAAAGCCAATGCTTACTCTTAATTTTTCAAAGGAATATATAACCTACCTATGTTTTAAGTACGCAAGTAAATACAGCTATTATTGTAGATTTCCTGAGGTTTTTAAAACTTCTTCAAACCCTTAGATTCTGAATCCTACTTTTCATAAATTGTGAAGCTGGCATTGTTTTTATTATGTTGAATATTCTCAAGTCCCTCTGCACAGCCTGTTAAATAATGTGGGTGTGTGATTAGCTTAAACACAGATGTAGCTTTAAAATTGATGTAAATCAACGAACTCAGAAAGAATTTTGGTTTATATCAGTGTTCTCTCTAGTACAAGGCAAAGGCTGAAGAGGAAACCATGCTTTCTAAAGCTAATACAGCATGATGTAGAAGTGAATAAAATGTATCTCCTGAAGTGCTTTTAGCTGAGGGTACAAGTTCTGGATCAGGATGCTATAAATTTGTTAAGATCATGGCTTTCTATGTATCCCTTATCAACCTATAATCTCCTGATTGTTGCCTGTTTTTCAACAGCTGAGGAACAGTAATCCACACTTGCTTATCTCTCTTAATCACAGCCTCATGGTGCTATAGCTCCCTGAGCCTTTAATTCCCTCTTAGAGGCGTAACAGAGTGGAAAGTAAACAAAGACAAATTTGCAACCTTCAACATTGCTAATTTGCTCTGATGTCAGAATATTTAAACAGGCAAGGACTTGGGAATTATTTGATCACAACTGATTTTAATCTAATGCATGTGAAAAGGCTGAGTCTGGGAAGGTTGTGCAAAATGACAGGCGTCCCAAGAGAGCTTGACTGAAGGTTTCTTCTTTAAACAACAATAGCTCCATCATTTTTCAACTCTGGGTCCTGTGCTCTTACTGTGTATTTTTTGTTTGCATTTTTAATGTAACTCTCTGAATATAATATTGGTTTTCTTTTAAATTCCTCATTTGCTTCCCAGTTTATAGGTGTCAGAAGCCCAATCTTTAGGCTTGTTACAGTGTCTGTTCACTGCTTAGTGGGTGGGAGAGATAAAGATCCCTGTTTAAAAAGCTTTGTCTCTCTCCACGTTTTTGTACCATCTTGACAGCCTAATGTAGCCTGCATACTTTCATATGTAAAATGATTGATAACTTGATCTTCAAATTATTTTAAATTACACAGTTGACGTTTATGCATGTATATATGTGTACATACTTGCTGGATAAGAAAGGATGTTATCTTGTGTTATATATTATGTGCACACTTCATCTACCACAGAAGTGATGGGCTTACACATACATACACATTATCATACACACATATTAATCTTTGCTCAGAGCAGATAGCTGTATGCCATTACCTGAAATAGATTTGATAAATATATGCAAGACAAGGTAGTGTTTTTAATTTTTTTTCTACATTTTCTTCAATTTGCCTTCATATGGTCTTAATTGTCTGTTCAATGCATGTGTAATCACTTATTTTTTTGTTGTTTACAAAATGGTTAATGCAGCGTACACGGTATTACCAGGACAAATGTCTGATGCTCTCTTAATTGTTATATATTGCTCTGTTTATATCTGTTCAGGTCGAATGACTTGTGTTTCTGAAGCATGTCTGATGATGATTTCTTCTTTTCTTCTTAGTGTGTATCATTTGGGATATTCCGGGGAGAGACGTGTCTGGGAAGCCAGCCTCTTGCAGTCACTCTGCACTGAGATTACAGCGCTGGGCTATTTGTGTTTCTCCTCATCCCTGTTTCTCTGTCTCTCACTCTCTCCAGCTGGTGTAAATGACTGCTGCTGCCTCCCAGAGCAAGATAACCTGCTCAGTCAGCTGGAGCCCCCTGCGGACAGCTGTCTCGCTTTTAGCTGATGGAAAACTGCTATAAGCGCTGAATGGAAGAGCGTGGAGCAGCGACCGTACCGGCACGGGGAGCTGCAGCGGCAGCCGGAGCAGACTCTATTGTTCCCTGGTGTTAAACAGCTTCTCCTTCCGCACTGCCATGCACAGCGGCGGGAGAGAGCCTTGCGGTCCCTCTCTCCCCGCGAGGAGATTCTGAGCAGGGAGGATCGTGTGCGGAAGGTTTGGCGGCGGCTCGGGAGCGGCTGCGGGCGGCATGGGGCTGAGCGGGGGCAGCGCTGCGCTCCGCGGGCCGGGGGCTCCCGCCCGCCGCGGGGCAGCTCTCGGGATGCTGCTGCTGGTGCTGCTGCTGGCGAGCTGGGACACCCGGGCGCAAAGTGAATTTCAAACTTCGTCCGTGTATTTGTGGAAGACCGGTAAGTCAGGGTGATAACGCAGCAGCAGCGTGTTGAGTTTTTTGTTGTAAGTAATGACCTTTTTGTGTGCTTTGTGTATGTGGAGGGAGAAAGTTAATCTAAAATAACTAATGTTTGCTGGCGGGATTATAGGGGGAAAATAGGTCATTTTACAGGATTCCACCCTCCAGGCACATATTGCAATTAAAAAAGCTCCACATTTTAGTCTGTGCCACTGTTACTGGGATCTCTTATATGTTTTTAATTCTGTTTAGCAGCTCTGTGTTGCACATAAAGGTCAGAGCATTAGTGCCTGTCATCAATGAGAAGGAACAATTATTACAATTGGAGTCAGCATCGTTAAAAGTGCTCTAAACATACTGAATTTTCACAAAGAAAGATGTGATTCAGCACATTTAATCTTTGTGTCCTGTGCTGATATGTAATATATTCAGCGTGGTAATTGATGGGGAGTTGGGTTTGTTAAATTTAGGTTTATTCCATGGTATATAGGACACGTGAAAGCTAATGATGGATTAGGTGAAATAATCCAAGTGATGCCAGATCTCATAACCAAAGAGCCAAAGGCAAATAGGCTATGTGGATTCAGCACCACAGTAGATGGATAATTTCCCCTACTTTGATCCTAATGAGTTACGTGTCTGTTTTAAAGATTGCATAGTCATAACAGTGTTTCAACCTTAACTCTGCATTAAAAATCAGTGGGGAATTTTCCTGTGTCTGTTAATATATTACATTAATTCAGGACTTAAGCAGTGATGAATATGTGCATTTTAGTTGTCTTGATAGAGTTGCAGCTCATATGTAAGTAGAATCAAACTCTCATTTAGGAAATTTAAAAATTTCTGACTGGGAAATATTTCACATTGGCTTTGGCAGTTAGCTTACTTTCCTATATGTTGCCAGGAACAAAACAATCCAAAAAGTAGTAGATTTGTTTAAAAAGTGTTTTTTCATTAAAGGGTAATACAATAATAGGAAAGACTGCAAATTAATCATTTTTCTGAAAAATAACTTGGAGACAACAGTCTCTTTGCTAGATGGAGGGACACTGCTTTCTGCCACAGAAGCAGATCAATTTACAATTACAGTGATATCCTGAATTTTTTAAGAGGCTCCATCTATCCAGCTGCTCAGAGAGGAGATTAAAAGGAAATTCATTTAAACAAGAAGACAAGCTTTCCAATAACACTAGAAAGAGAAATCTGAAGAAGGGAAAATCCTTTGCAACTTTCACTTCTGACTGCAAGATGGGTTACACAATGACAGTGACCTTTTTTCCCTTTAAACTGTTGACAAATTAAAACAAATTTACAGTTCCATTACAGATCTGTAAATGTTCAACACACACTTAAAAAGAGGTGATATGTATCCACGGGTTTATGGAAAGGCACAGTAATAATATAACATTTTCATAAAGCATTTCACATTTACCCTAAGTTGCTAGGCATCAGCAGAATAAACTCTCCAGCATTTTATTATTGTCTCCATTTAGCAGTGTAATGGATTGTATTTAAAAATGTTAAAACAGTAACATAGTTTGAGGATAATAATAATTCTTGTGAACTACTACTTAAGAACACGTGCAATCAGTTTGCTATGGACTTAACTCCACTTACTTTGCACATGGTGCACATGCTTTGAAGTAATGTCAGCTAAACCGGCACCAAGGAAACTGTCTTGGCTTTTGTCTTCACCCCCCTTTTCCCTTCCTGGCAAAGACTGCTCTTAAGAAACTTTTGTGTAGGACAGGTATGATCCAATTACTTTGCCTGATGAAGAGCTAGCTCTTCCCTTCATCTTTTCTTCTGTGACATCCCTCTCCTGTTTTGCCTGCAGTAAGAAATACTGCAGCCATAACATCAGTGATGAAATGGAAGCAAGATGAAAAACAAGTAATGAAAAACAAGAGTGGCTCTTTTTAGATGATGAAAGGCAAGATGCAGTGAATAAGACACTGCATCTGTGTTTGGCTCCAAATTAAATTTTTGCGCTCTTTTTTTCAGCTGTGTATTGAATTCTTTTGTTTTCCCTCCCTCCAGTCGTGGGAGGATCGAGAAAGTGAACTGGAAGAACTGCTGGTCAGTGGTCTGAAGTGACATGTAGTGTGGGAGGTAAAGAGTTCAGCTAAAGTATCAGAGAGATAAAACTGAACAGTAGTGAGCTCATGCGCTTCAGATGATATTTTCCTTCTTCTGTGAATGAGAGAGGCCAGGAGAATGTGGCTGATACTTTGTCAAGGCAATTAGCTGGATTATAGGCCTTCTGGGACCTCTTATGTCCATTTTTTGAGAACCATGCTATTTTTGTATTGAATTTAGTCTGTCATCAGCTTTTCTAAGTGCTGTTCATGACTTGCATCTGTCTTGTTTTTATTTCTAAAGGTTTTTGAAATAATGTCTACTTTGTGTCTTCTACACTGCTTTACTGCATTATGTTTTCTTAAGGATGCCCTTGACAATAATGTGCAATGACTATGAGGTTTGAGTTGAGGCATGCTTTGTTTTATATAATAATAGTTTTGTTTTTATGTTTTCTTATATTTATGGGGTTTGAATGGGTTTTTTTTTGTTGTTGTTGTTTTGTTGGAAAGAGGGGAGGAGTGTTCTAATTCAAATTTCAAGTGTTTGCTTTCAATCCATGAAAAGCTCTCAGAGGACCTGATTTCCTGTTTACTACCATCCTCCAGTCTACTGCCATAAAAATCTGAGGTTATTGCAATTCTCAGTTTAACCATTTGGGGGTTTAGTTATCTTTGATTCAACATATACAGTGTTGTGAATAATCTGCTTTGAGCAGGGAAGTTGAGCTAAAAGTTATCTCCAGAGGTCCCTTCTAATTTCCACCCATCCTGTGATATGGGTGCCATCACCGAGTCATTTTTATTGCTCCAGCTGAAACTGCTTTGAAATTTTGGCTTTTGTTACTTTTTTTGGTCTCTTGAGAGAATGGGTATTTGATGTTCTGGTGTGTTTAATGGATCTTCAGAGTTCTGAATCACATTTTAATGAGCATAGTTGATTATACCTTCAAGTGAGTGAACTAGGTTTCTCACCAAACTTTCTCATTCCATTCTATGCAGACCATTTTATTCGATTCCAAATACACGGTTGGTTCATTTTGTGTGGTCACTGGGAAAGCCGTCTTGGCTTTTTAGCATAAACTAAAGCAAAGTGATGAAACAGCAAGATTCCCAGTGTTGAGTCATGGTGTGGATCTGGTTGATGATCTGAGCTAGACAGCAGCAGCTTTTAGCCACTCATGGAAGAGAAGTTGTGAAACTGGGGACTGGTCATTATATTGGTGTGGGCCAGACACAGACTGCCAAGTGTTGAACTATTTATGTTGAAAAGATGTTAATGGCATGTTTTGTTCATGAGTAATTTCCTTTCTCTGATTTAACTGATTTCACTTGCAGTGACCTGTTGTTTGCTTCAGGTTCTACACAGTTGCACTTCTGTGAGTTTCTCAAATGCCATTTTTATTCTGCCTTAACTTTTATGATTTGCTTTAGAATTTTGCTGAATATTATTGAATTTAATCTGAAGGGGAGTTGTCAAGACTGGAAGAAGGCTCTTCTCATTGTTGCCAAGCAATAAAACAAGAGGCAATGGGCAGAAACTGTTGCACAGGGAGTTCCATCTGAATACAAGGAGGAATTTCTTTACTGTGCAGGTGACCATACACTGGAACAGACTGTCCAGGGGGGCTGTGGAGTCTCCCTCACAAGATATTCAAGAACTGTCTGGATGCAATCCTGTCCTGTGTGCTCTGGGATGGCCCTGTTTAGGTGGGGAGGTTGGACCAGATGACCCACTGTGGTCCCTTCCAGCCTCACCCATTCTGTGATTTTCATATTCAAAGACACCTTATGATCTTGTGATACTGCCCACCGTGGGCTATGTTGTTATATCTGTAAGTTCTGCATTGAACAGTGTGATGACTGCTGATTCTTAAATGAAGATACCCATGAAGTTTTCACTTTTTTCCCTTTACGTGTAGGTGCATATTTTTCATAGTCTCTCATGTCATCATGCAGGATGTTTACCATTGTGTTTACCATTCCTTTACACAAATGACTAAGCATAGGTGCTTCTTGCCCCATCAGAAGTCTCTTTTACTTCTTTCTACCCTCTCTTTCATATGTTTTTGTTAAATGAATTCACATGTTGATGTGTTATGTGCTGTCGGTGTTGGGTGTAATGCTTGCCTACAGTTACTATGAGATATATATATATATATATATATATTATATGCAGATTAATTACTGAAGAATGCACAAAATCTGCAAGGTTTGATCACATTAAAATTGCATCTTCCAATAGCTTGAAATAGTGTACATGACACCTTTCAAGTGGAAGATGCAGCACTGGATTAATATCTCTGTAACAAAAGAAGTCATGAGACAAAAATCCAGGAGGCAGTGCCTTTTCCATTTTTATTTGTTTTAAAGACTTGATCAGATCTCAGATAGTACAGATAGGTGTAGCTCTGCAGAATTATTTGAGGTATCTGCAATTGTTGATACTGAGACTGGTTATTGGTATAACAGTTGCAGTTTGACATTTTCCCTTCTTTTTAACAAGGGTAGAACTTGACATAGGCTTTCTGTGGGAAACAGTGCTGTTTTAAAATTAAAGTGGAAATAGGAAAAAGGCATTGTTTCCTGAAGAGAACAATAAAGTATCTATATTTTCCTGCTTATGTTGTTAATGTGTGTGTAGGCAACATACAGAATATCATTGGTACTTTTGGGGTAGTGGAGGCCTGGAATGAAACCAGGGGCCAGGTGGGTTCTACTGGGGCCAGAGGGGT